AAAAAAAAAAAAAAAAAAAATAGACAAAGCGATACTTTTGTTATTAAGTATCATTCAGCGATTTCTACAATTAGCTAATGTGGATCATCAATTGACGTGTGTGTAATGTCTCCATTCGAAAACGTGATTCGTTATTGTTAACGGTGACACTGGCCCCGCTGCGTTCGCTCTTCTATACACGATACCGCGTATACTAATGTAAACAATGTGACGAAAATTAATTTGATGTAAAAAATCATCCAATGTTAGTCAGAACTTTTTTTGGGATGAAAGTTTTAATGAAATAATAAATTTTAATTTACAAATTATTTATTTGTACTTCAATGAAATTGGTGCACAAAATGCAGTTCATCGGTATCAGTCTTGTGTGTGTAAAAATTTATTTAATATCAGTAAACGCGCCTAACACTGGAAAACGTGCTTGAAATTATTGGAAATTTTCAAGCCATTATTTTATAATATACGGAATCGTCGTTTTATATTACTATTATTGATTAAAAAAAGTCGACTTGAGTATAATACAGCACTTGACATATTTGATTTCACAGAGTATTGCTACGTATATACATGTTCTTGTAGCTCATTCAATTTTCGAACATATTTCTTAGGTTCACTAAGGTGTAAAATTATTCTCTTAGTCAATAGGAACACGTAAGCATCGCAGATGCTATATTCAAGGTTTCGTAAAGTATACAAACCCTTTTAATTCATAACACATAAAAAATAAATACGAAAATTACGCTGTGGGTCAGTATCATGTAAAAGGAGTAGAAACGACTTTAATCTTATTTACAATAAATTTTATGAAATAATTGTCATTTAAAATGTATTCTTCTTTTTTTTTTTTTTTTTAAATTAAAAATTTTTTCATTAAATTTTGTTTAAAAAATTAGTTAACAAAAAATAAGAGCTGAGGAGACGAGGAAAAACGTTTTATGTACACGCAGTTTCCGATGGATGTATCCATCAACGCGAGGTATTTTTTAAGCCAACAGAAGGATTGTTTGTCACGTAACGTCTTTTATAGATTTTCATATCTTCCATACGGGTCACGTAATTTAAAAAATATTAAAAATATTATTCGTTACATTTTAAACCCCTGCGCGTTAGTTGGCAAAACTTCTTCAAACGAAATAAGGACGGCTTGACGTCGAGGCTTGCGATGGGCCATGTTGATGTGGCCAATGACAGCTTGTAGGAGTGTTCTTCACCTTGCGCAGTCCATAATCACGGCTCCAATTTCGAGGGCAATTTGTCCCTGGAAGGCTGTTCGTGGCCTCTTGGTGGTTAGCCGTTGCTACTAGTCCAGAAGGCAAGTCCTCGAGGATTTGTCGGGCACCCAGTGGATCCACTTGGCTTGGAATACCTAGCCTCGGGGTCATCTTCTCGGCTAGAACTTTTTCCAGATCTGCACTCGACTGAACACCCATCCATTCTGATTCTTCGGCATTGCCTTACTGCCTTATATACCCAATAAATCAGTTCTCCGAGAGCTTCCACGCGATAAAATTCAGTTCAAACTTGCTTGAAATATCCCCACTCTTACTCATGATCGCGCCAGAAAAACAAAGCGATTATTACTCTTTCATTTTATGTGTATCGTGTACGTATGTTCATTGAGGGCGAAAAGTGCAATTTTACGCCCGATAAATGCATTTTGTGGCCCGGAGGGTCGGAAAGTAAGTATTTTACTGCCCGTGAGCAAAAGGCGCCGAAGGCTCCAACAGTCGATCCCAAACGATAGCGGCGAGCCGGCCGAAGCCGGACTTTTAGCGACTAATTCACTTTATATAAGCATTGTCCACTCACGGGAGAGGGAGAACCGTGCCTGTGCATGTGAGGGCGGAGTTCAGTGCACAAGAGTAGTCATTCTCATTCAACATAAACGTTGGGAGGGGGGGGGCTACACTTTTACACCCTGCACACTGACTCGCTCTCTCCTTTATCAGTTTATCAATATCTTCTTGGTCACCAATCAAGTTTAATTATTACGTTAATATAAAAATTTAGTTGCACTGAATTCATTGCACTAGACAAAATTTTTCATTGTGTTTTCGTTATCAACTGAAAAATATGCCTTTGCGATCTTTTTTTGTAGAAATAAACGTGTGTTATATGTATAACGTATTAATAAATGTTTGAATAATGCTCGGTCAATGTAAAATAATTAAACAGAATTCTTTTGATTTTCTAAATTTTACTAACAAAAACATATATGTGTGTATACAACTCTGTTAAAAATCGTTAAAGATAGCGTACAAACAATTTTATTCAACAAACAATCAACAAAGGCAAAAACGACATTTTAAATCAAACTTGGAAGTTCTGCTGTCGCATTAATGATACAAGGAGGAATAAACCTCACGTATCTTATGGTATTCCTTATATTTATGTAAGTCGACGAGATGGTTGTGAAGATACCTATGATCACCACGCAGTATCCAAAGCAATCGCTTAAATCTGGCACACCCCAAAACTTTCTTGGTGCTCTATTCATCCTCCCTTCGAGTCTTCTAAATGAAAGAAAAAAAAAAAATTCCTTGTATATATACACATTTTTTTTGTAATCTCATGCATAGTGTCACGAAGACGTTTTCATTGTAAATACGTTTGATTTTGCACCGAAAGATGATCGGTATGCGTCATCGCTGGGAGACTTTCGCTTCTCGGTCCATCAAGGGGTTTCGTCGATATGCTGCCGTACTCGGTGAACGATTGGATTTCGTCCTCGATCGTTTCCATCTCACCATCGTAGTAAATAAACGAATAGCCATCATTCTTGTCTTCGTCTCCGTTGCGAAAACCATAATGAGTCGATCTGTAAATTTTTTTTACGTAAAAAAAATAATTTAAAAAATCGGTAATTTTTGTTAAAAAAAAAAAAAAAAAAAAAAACTCGACACTGTGTACGTGTATATTATTTGCTTCGTTATAATATAGGGAAAATGTCTCAGTTACCTGGAGTGCGCCCGTGGGTTGGACAGAAACTCGTCGGATTTTGGATGGTGCTCGGGGCCGGAGCAGAGGAATCCAGGGGCCGAAGATCGGCGTGGATTGTCGGTGACTCGCAGGCGCGCCTTAGCTCGCGCGTACATCAGCGGCGGCAGTATGAAGACGAGGGGGCCCGTGAGGGTGCCGCCAATCAGGGACATGACTATGTCGAAGCGCGGCACGGACTCGCCCACCGCCACGGCCAGGAATACGACTGCCGAGCGCAGCGCGCACCGCCGCCATCCGAACGCTGTGGACAGTCAATATTGCAGGCTTTAACACTTGAAACGACTCAATTTTTTTCTGAGCCAAAAAAATAAAATAAATAGAAATCGTTATTAAGAATCGGTTGGCAAAGAGTTACAACAAACATACGAATTCATTGTGATCGGGCCATGGTCACCAAGTTTTAAAAAAAAGAAACCGTTCTATTTATCATCGTAGCTCCCTCTACCGTAATACCTGTTCTCTGAATATACATCTACATAAATATACTTTCTCCATCAACTTCATAGAAAAATAACAATGATGCTACACTTTTGTTTTATATCTTATTACAATGTCCTCTACTCTACTCTTGAGAGTGAAGTGAAAAACTCCCAGTGCCATTTCTGCGCTGAAAGTAGAAAAAAAAGAGTAATTTTACATTGTCTTGTAGGAATATACCAGGGGTGACGTTAATTTGCCGTGGGGAACGATGGCCTATACTCTCTTTCCACGCGTTCGAGCGTAAGCTCTTCTCGAGAGTCCGATCGGTAGACTTGTCCCTTCCATTCCGAATTTACGCGTTAAATTTTGCGCCTTTCAGGGGACACTGCTCTAGAGAATTGTGTAAAAATGCTGCGAGGGATCGCACCCTGACTCACATCTCCGCACGTGTAGCTGATCCTCGAGGTGCTGGAAGAGGGCCGAGTGTCCTATGGCACTGGACAGGCAGAGCTGGAGAGCGGCCAGTAGAATGGCCACTTGAATGGTCCAGCCCGGCGGAACGATTTCCAGCACGTTGGCGGTCGCGCTGCCACCGTAACGCCAGACCACGAGACCCGTCGTTATGCCGAATGATGCGACTATGGCTACATATTATACGCGAAGAAACGACGGAGATTTACTATTGTTTTATTTTGTTTGGTTTACGCAAGTTAAAAAAAAGATAATCCAAATGCCCACAAGTGTAATGTTATGGGTAAAAAATAAATTAAAGGGGTAAAAATCAACGTCCATGTTGCGTTAAGATGTGTGTGATTCGACACGTTAATAGATGGGAGTTAGAAAAAGTGTTAGCTGTAATTTTGTATGATAACAGGTATTGGGAAAAATAAAAAAGATTGTATTTTCCGCCACTAACTGAGAAAAGAGAAGACAATGGCTCTGTTGATGTCCTTTGGTCTTTTCATGTCCACTTGAATGGTCATGAGAGTCGGATGAACGTCGAATTGAAATGCCAGCATGCCGTACCTTGAAATCGTTCATGTGTATTATTCATGACGCTGCAATAGATCAAAATAGCAAAAGACATCGATAAATGTGGATAATTTATTTATATACCCTGAAATGAATTGTTCCCACGAGGGAGAGCTCGGAATCGGTTCGACATCCGGACTTCTGTGATCATTCAAAATCGACCACCATATCAGCAGAGTAGCTACGGAGATCGTCGACGTAGAGAACATCGTCAGCCACCTCATGGCGAAAACAAAAGCAAAAAATCACTAATTAAAGTTAAAAAAAAAAAAAAAAAAAAAAAAAATTTCATACCTGTATACACGAGGACGCACGTAACGCACTCGCCTTTCNAAAAAAAAAAAAAAAAAAAAAAAAAAAGGAAAGTATTAAAGCCAATGATTATCTAATCCAATGTATATATTGCTCTGTGACTCTCGATGTATACATGCAGCGTTCACTTTCTACATGTACACTTACTCACTTCATGTCTCGTGGGCTTCCGAGCCACATGACCGGGCACAGCAGTACCCCGACCACAAGCAGCCAGTAACAAAAGGACAGGTTGAAATTACTTTCCGACACCTTGAGACCGAATAGTTGCAAATTCTGCGAGGCTGTGTTGAAAACATTGATATGTGTACCTTTTATGAAAAAGCTATGGAAAACCAGATGAGTGTTCTTTTTTTTTTACGTACCTACCAACAAATTGGGCACTCCGCCGCCGAAAATACTCAAGTCGAGCAGGGCTGCAACCACCAAGCTCGCCGATCGTCCCAAAGTCAATTCCGTGACAGCGGCCATTGGGTACCTTTTCATCGAATTTCATCGTTACATATTTACACCCACGCAGTTGCCGGCGATAAAAAAAAAAGGGGTATTAACTTGCCGATTTTTCCGAGTAATACTCGGATCGATGCTAGTAGCTAGGTTCCAGGATTTACCCACCAGCACGGCCGTGTAGATCTGTATCGTGCCCACGACGACCACCAATGGGATTCCGAGCAAGCCTGTTTTAAAAATCAACGGAATATACATACAATCGAGTCTTAATTGTTTTTTAAACCCCCTCCCCCCGTTCCGTTGATCATAACTATTAAAGGGGAACTTTTTCTCGTAGCTAAAAATCGTTGCAACAATATATTATACATGACAATGAGAAAAACCTCCGATAGTCCCTTTCAGATGCCCGTGAAAAAAAACTCCGAAACTAAATTATATACAAGTAGGTATAGAAAAATCGAGTTTTTCGACGAACAAACAATAGATAGAATCGATCGGATTAGATTTAAAATAGGCACGCACCCGTCAACTTGTAGTATCTAGTTTCACAATTATATCCACACGTATATACTATGGCAAATATGATACACTTGTTTAGGTCTCTCGTTACAATTTTACACGTATATGCATGGAAATGAATGTCTCTGTGCCGCAGTTACCGATTTCTTCTACACGCAAACCCGGGAAAACAGGGGGAAGGATCGGCAACGAACTCTCACCACACTGGACGATGGCACCTGGCAGGGCGATTATCGGAAAAACCCCGAATATATCGACGATGCAGAGGCTGGCGAACAACAGGGACAACCCGGACCTCCGGTTATTGCGCTGCAGCAGCGGGACGCCGCTCATCTCCCGCGGGTAACTCATTACGAGGCGATTGTTTTATTCTCCGTGGATCGACTAGACTCTTGGTGATGCTGCTACCTACTGATTTCGCGCTCCACGCGTTAATGTTTTTGTTTTACCTGTGCAAAGCGCGAGTGTATGTTGTAATATTAGCCAAGGTAGGGAGAGAGTGAATTAATAAAACTCCTCGGGGGTAACTTGATAAACTTTTGCGTCATGTAATACATACGTGTTATGTGTGCCTTACTCCGTATACCTACCTACTTTGCGTCTATCGGTCACTGTGCACCAAATACAGGTATATACGGAAGACCCGCAAGTGTCTCTCTCTCTCTCTCTCTCTCTCTCTCAGCGTGAGCTTTTCTTGGCCTTTTTTTTCCTCGGGTGTAATGTACCCACCAGGAAGTTGACTTTTGCTTTTACTTGGATTTATATAGATCCCCTCGTGTGGGGCTTGGCTGACACTGTTTATTTCTTTATCGATCGATGCATGTCGTGATTTAGCGGAAATGAGGTTTTTTTAAAAATAAATACAGTTTTGTATGGATTGGTTTTTTTGAGTTTTCAATTTTTTATTTTATAAATATATATTTTTAATTTTTACATAAATTTTTAAGTAGAAAGCTTAAATGCTAAGAAAGGGCGTGAAATTGGGATTAACAAAAAAAAAACTTATTGTAACGAACCCAATATCACCACTGAGACTACGAAAAAGTATACATATATTACCTGATGCGTTTGCCACAGGTAAATAAACCAGACACGCATCCAAACACGGAAATTTCATTTTTATAAATTTTTCGCTTGTTACACAGTACTCAAAATCATACATTAGTTTTACACTAATCTTTGTGTTTTTTTCTTATTTTCTTTCTTTTATTGAAGCTGCACGTTTTGCAGTTTTTTAATCATCTAAAAATAACAGCTCTTATTATTACGTGAAAAATGTCAACTTATGAATCAAAGTGTTATCTTTTATTAATTTTTTTTTTTCAACATCGTGCGAGTGTTGCATTGATTTTCATGTAAGAGTTAAAAAGTAAAAAAGTAATAGTGATAACTATAAACTAAAATCTATTATTATTTTTTTTTTTTTCTATTAAAATGTCACACCAGTCCTTTGTACAAAACAAAATTTTAAACAGAAATCAAATAAATGAATAAGGTAGTGGTGTACACTAGTAAGACACATAGCAAGTAGCTCAAAAAAAATTGCAACAAAGAAATCAAGTCCAACGGTTTATCATCCCAAAAAAATCATTTCTACGATCATTCCTATGGATGAGTTTCTTTCGGACTAAAAAAAAATATTCCAAGCAATTTGTATAAATGTGAATTTATTTCCTTAAAAAAATTAAACACTAAGTATTTAAGTTTCATCTGTATCGTATCCGGGTACTTGAGGCGAATACGCTGGACTCGTGGGCGAGTAGCTCGGTGATGTTGGCGAGTACGAGGGTGATGTAGGTGAGTACGACGGCGAAGTAGGTGAGTAACTGTGACTCGTCGGCGAGTAAGTTGGACTCGTAGGTGAGTACTTGGTGCTGGTCGGCGAGTAAGTGGGACTCGTCGGCGAGTAGTTTGGACTACTTGGTGAGTACTTGGTGCTGCTGCCACTGTGCTGAGGCGAGCTTGGCGAGTACGACGGTGAAGTCGGCGAATACGAGGGCGAAGTGGGCGAGTAGCTGGGCGACGTCGGCGAGTACGTCGGACTCGCGGGCGTGTACTGCGGCGAGGTGCCGGCGAACGAGGGCGAGGTGGGTGAGTAGCTCTGCGACATTGGAGAGTACTTGGGCGAAGATGGCGAGTACGAGGGTGACGCGGGCGAGTACTGGGGCGATGAGGGAGAATATGAAGGTGACGTGGGCGAGTATGAGGGTGAGGCTGGGGTATAACTCGGTGAAGTGGGTGAGTAACTGGGCGAGGTCGGAGAGTAACTCGGCGACGTGGGCGAGTAACTTGGCGAGGTAGGGGAGTAGCTGGGCGACGTTGGTGAATAGCTGGGCGATGTTGGTGAGTAACTCGGACTAGTGGGCGAGTAAGAAGGTGACGTTGGCGAGTAACTAGGTGAAGTTGGTGAGTAACTCGGCGAAGTTGGCGAGTAAGAGGGCGAAGTGGGTGAGTAAGACGGTGAGGTGGGTGAATAACTCGGCGAGGTTGGCGAGTAGCTCGGTGATGTCGGTGAGTACGAGGGTGAAGTGGGCGAGTACGACGGAGAAGTCGGCGAGTAGTTTGGACTCGTCGGCGAGTACGTCGGACTGGTTGGCGAGTAGTTTGGACTAGATGGAGTCATACTCGGTGAGGTGGGCAAGTAGGCTGGACTCGTGGGTGAGTAGCTGGGCGACGCGTTACCAGCCGGCGACATTGGGAAGGGGCTCATGCTTGGCCCTGGACTGCCTGGGCTTCCCGGCTGTGGAGAGTAGGCTGAATATGCCGGCGACAGTCCCGAAGCGTCGGATTGACCGGACGGTGAAAAGCAAGCACCTCCGGGCGTCATGCCACTGCCGATGCTCGGCGACATACTTGCTGACCCATAACCAGGTGTTGCTCCCAACCACGGGGTCATTTGTGGACTCATGCTCGGGGTGCTCACGTTGCCAAAGAACATTCCCGTGCCACCCATGATGTTCGCGCCCACAGCCATTGGGATCTCGATACCCTGTTTGCACATTTCGGCGTCGAGGATCAGGTCGAAGCAGCCAGTGCCGATACGAGGCAGTTGGCCCATAATAATGTTCTCTGACACACCACGCATGGGATCGACCTCGGCGTGCGAGGCCGCGTCCAGCAGCACGTCGACCGTTTCTTCGAAGGAGCACCTCATGAGGGCTCCGGTGTCCTGTCTGTTGATACCGTGACGTGTGATGGCCATGAGATGACCTTTGGCAGTCATAACGTCGCAAAGCAAGGCCAAGTGCCGGTAGTTCACGTAAAGACCGTAGAATTGAAGCACGGCGTTCATTTCTTTCTCGACGGATTTTCGCACAGCCTCTATGCCCAACACTCCAAAGATCTCGCAAATGTCGTTTGAGAATGTCCTCACTGGGTCAACGTCGCGCTCACTCAGCACTTTCATGAGACTCGTGCCGTCAGTTTCCAGCAGCCACTCGGCAATGGCTTTGAACTCGCCGGTATCCGTGATGACCATCTTCTTTTTGGAGTCCGTCTGTGGCAAGTGCATGTATACCTTGCTGATAGCCTCGATACCCTGCAACGTCATATCACTGAGCATATTCGCCTCTATGCATCGCAGGAACATATCGTCGTCCATCTTGTCCACCGATTCCTCGATATCTGCCGTGTCCGTGAACTTGTTCTCTTCGCTGTTCATTATGCGTATTCGCAGGACCAGTTTCTCGGCATTGTCGTCGTTGAATATGCAGTTCAGGTCATCGCCGAAACCAGCGTTTATCTTCTCGGCGATTTGTTCCATGGTCATTTTTTTATCTGTCATGCGCTTGCGATCGAGCTCGATACGCAGCAGCCAGGGCGATATTTTCGTCGGATCAAAGTCCGGCATTTCGTAGTATACGTTGACGAACTCCTGATCCTCCACGATGACGGTGTTTTGTGGCTCCGGATCGTAATAGATCGCGGTGTTGGCTGTCACCTTTTTCAGAGTCGTGTGCTCGAGTCGGCACAAAACGTTCTTGGCCTTCTCGGCGTCTCTGGCTGCAGCACCCGTCAAAAAAACCGTGAGGGAAGGAGCCTTGGGCTTTTTACTGATATTAATGATTTCCTTCAATCTGGGCACACCCAGGGTTACGTTCTTCGACGACACACCAGCAAAATGGAAAGTATTCAGGGTCATTTGGGTGGCAGGTTCACCAAGAGACTGAGCAGCCAAGGCACCAACCATCTCACCAGGCGAGCACTGGGCTTGCTGGAATCTCGTCTCGATTTCTCCGATGAGCCACTCAAATGCCTCACTGGACAGCCTAAAATCTTCGGATACGCATTTTGTGCAGAGGGTGGAGCGCACAAGGCACTGGAACAGCAGAGTTGCGTTCTCGTTGGCCTGTTTGCTAAGGCGATCCTCGCCAGCTACTATAATACATTTTTCCAAAAGATCTCTCACGCCCTGGATAACTCTCATTGGACTCAAATCTGTGGGTGCTCGCTTGTTGATGTGGAAGATTTTTTGCACGTTCCATATCATACGCTGTAAATTGCAGGGCAATACAACCTTATTTTCACCACTAGGGAAGATCTCGCGAAGCGCCGATCTGTCCTTGTTCAGTTGTTCCCACTCGCGTTCTGAAATAACAAATAAGGGTAGATTATTTTTTTTATCCAGTAAAGTTTATAAATCAATTTTTTAAAACATCAAACAGTTTTGCACACGATTTCTTACCTAGTTCTGAAATAACTTCACCGGATCCCATCATTTCACGCACGATATCTTCGTTGAAGATTTTCCTCAGGTATCTTTCGTTGCTCGGATCGAACTTGAACTTCTTTTCGAAAGTCTTGTTACTAAGCTTGATAGAAGACAGAGTTTGGAATTCTACGGTTTCACCGCAGAGCCCGTCCTCGCCGTAACGCAGCTGGATGAGCTGGCCGACGGAATTTCTCACGGTGCCGTCGTAGTGCACCATAACGGACTCCATAGCCTTTATCAGACGACGCTGGATGTAACCGGTTTCAGCGGTCTTTACGGCAGTATCGATAAGACCCTCACGACCTCCCATAGCGTGGAAGTAGAACTCGGATGGTGTGAGACCGGCAAGGTACGAGTTCTCGACGAAGCCACGAGACTCGGGACCGTAATCGTCTTTGATAAAGTGGGGCAGCGTGCGCTTGCGGAAGCCGTAGGGTATACGCTTACCCTCGACGTTCTGTTGTCCTACACAGGCAATAACCTGAGAGATGTTAATATTGGATCCCTTGGAACCTGTAAATACCAAGTGTATTAGATTGGGCTAAAACTTTCAAATTGCGATGAAATAATACAACAGTAACAAACCTGAAACGACCATAGCCTTTAGATTGTTGTACTCGGTCAACGATTTTTTAGCAGAGCCACCAGTCTTGTCACGAGCGTCGTTTAGGATTCTGTTTACTTGATTTTCAAAGGTCTGCCTGAGCGTATTACCAGGTGTCGGCTCGAGCTCCATGTTGTGAGCTTTTTGAATAACTTCTATGACGTCTTGTTTGGCTTTCCTGATGGACTCCTGGATTTCAAAGTAGGTCTGAGGATCGGCAATTGTGTCTCCAATACCGATCGAGTGACCCTCGAGCAGAAGCCAGGTATTGATCACAGTCTGAATGTTACCGTAGAATCTGCCGCAAACCTCGTGACCAAGCTCCAACATGCATATGTGTAGCAGCGAACCCGTTGAGGCTCCCAGCGTTTTTTTACACAGGATACCCATGATGAGTTCACCGTGCTCTACAATGACTTTCGTGTCACCGGGAGATATCCACTTGTAGGGACCGTCGTCCTCGTCGTCCGGATGGGTGCTGTGTGTACGCGTCATGTTGACGTTGCCGGGAATGATCAACGAGAATATTTGTTTGCCCGTCCACAAGAGCTTTGGCTTTAGGATGCAGGGCTGCGGCATTTTTCCGTCCCAGCTGGGTAAGAACATGAGAATGTTCATCATTTGTTCTTTCTCTATAAAGACGTCTCGTTTTGTCATTTTTCTGACGGCCGTAAGCGTGTCTTGCACAATACCTGAGAGAGAGAGAGAGAGAGAGAGAGAAAAAAATATATATTTAAGCTTAATTTACTGCATTAGTACAAATTTTGTGTGTCAGTAACGTACCCATGACGGGTTTATTAGCTTGAGGAGTGATAATTTGTCGAGGGGTAATGTGAATGTTTTCCACCTCGGCACGGGTTTCCATGGATTGAGGAACGTGCAAATTCATCTCGTCACCGTCGAAATCTGCATTGTACGGAGACGTGCAGCTGAGATTCATACGAAATGTACTCCAGGGCAGTACCTTGACTCTGTGGCCCATCATACTCATTTTGTGAAGAGTGGGCTGAAAAAACAATAAATAAATAAAACTGAAACATGATACACAACTCTGAATATTGTACACAAAGAGTACACACCTGTCGGTTGAAAATAACTAAATCGCCATCCCTAATATGTCTCTCGACCTTGTAACCGCATTGCAAGTGCAGATCCGACGGTTTGGGGTGGAACCTCAAATCAATACGATCTCCGTTATCGCGTATAATATACTTAGCGCCAGGGTAGCGAGTGTTTCCCCTGCGTACGAGTTCCTGCATTTTGTCGATGTTGAAGGGTGTGACGATTTCAGGAAAAGTCAAGTTCTGAGCTATACTGCGTGGCACGCCAACTTGATCGATTCGCAGGTTCGGATCGGGCGTGATGACCGTTCGTGCCGAAAAGTCGACACGCTTGCCCATAAGGTTTCCACGAATACGACCTTCCTTTCCTTTCAGACGGGCTTTGATGGATTTCAGCGGTTTGCCGGACTTCTGCATGGCCTTGGGCATACCGGGCATGTCGTTGTCGACGAGCGTGGCTACGTGGAACTGCAGCATTTTTATGTTCTCGCATATTACGTGAGCCGCTGCGCCACCCTGCTCGTTTCTCAGTAGCTCGTTATTTGATTTGATAATGTCGGAGAGCTTGTGCGTCAAATCGTCCTGATTTTTGGCCGAGCCGTACATGACAACAGCCGGACGGACGGATAATGGGGGCACTGGCAGTACGGTGATAATCATCCAGTCAGGTCGCGCAAATTTTGGATCCATTCCAAGGATGAAGGATTCCTCATCGGTTATGTGTTTCAGGATTTCATAGGCACGTTCAGCCGTGAGAACGATCTTCTTTTCCTGTGTGTCTTCGTTTACGTTCTTCCATTCGGCCGTGACATCGAGACCAGAGCGTCTAAAGTTCGGCTGGTAGTGACCACAGCCACCGTGGCTTGGCTTTTTGTTAGGATCCGGTGGTTGGCCTTCTTTCGCGATGTCCAACTCGTCGCCACCTTCGCAAATATTTTTGCTCTTGCAGAGATCGTACACGTGAGTGAGACGCTTTCGCGGCTGGCCTTTTGTTTTCATGACGATTTCTTTGATTTTTGGATTTTGCTGTAATAGAGGGATATTTTTCATTTTTATTGATAAAAAAGAAAAGATAAACACATGACTATGTTCCCTAAGTCAATCAAGAATGAAAATACATTCTTCCAAACCTTTGGAAAAATCATATAAGTATAAAAGTACTTACCGGACTGACCAACATTTTTGAGCAAAAGAAACAAACGCATCTAAGAATCTTGATAGTTTTTGTGATAAATCCACAGTGAAAAACTGGTTTGGCTAAGTCAATGTGACCGAAATGTCCAGGACATTCCGTCATGTTGCCAGCACAAGTCTGACATCGAGAGTTTCTGTCAATAACACCCTGCCTAGGGTCCATGAGACCACCAAGTTTTGGGCGACCACCTTCCATGGTTTCGGCAAAGCGAATACCACCCTCTGTAACTGACATTCGGTGCTGGAAATGAAAAATTTTTTTGTTCACGTTTTATGAAAAATTGACAAAAAATGGGAAGATAATTATCAGTTAAGTATACAACATTTTTGAATGTACTATTGAACTATGTACTTTAGGTACTTGAATATGTACATCATGATTTTTGTACATGTATCAACTGTATTATAAGTATACAATTTTTAAAACATTGATTATGACATTACTGTAAGATATTAAAGCTTTAAAATGTAGGAAAGTTATTGCATGTATTGTCGGATTGTGTAATAATAATGCAACACTTTTACAATCATAGATTTCCAACATTTCAGTTTAAAATAAAAAGTTTACTTTCTCTGCATAGCTTAAAGTGACAAGTACCTAGTGAAAGATTTTGGAGACACTATTTCGATGGGTGGAGATGTGACAATACAAAAACAATAAAAGTTTGGTAAAAAAAAAAAATAAAATAAAATTCAGGTATTTAATTCTGGATCATATGGTATTTGGATTTGCTAGGTCATTGCACATAAGGACGATTACACAACAGAGTGAAATTTATCTGGATAATATAATGAAATCAAATTCGCCTAAAAGAAAGTACTCATATGCAGTAAACAATCCAATTAGTTTTAGTCTACCAACGCTACTAACAAAGTTTTCCTGCTGTATGTGGTAAGTACATGAAAATACGTTAGTCGTTTATTAGTACTGATCATCATAGCCACGTCGGCTTTATAAAAATTCGCAAAAATTACGCGAAATAAAAATTAAACTCCAAAGCAACCCTGACTAAGGTTGAGATGATAAAAAAAAGAAACAAAAACATGGGAGGCACGCGCGGGCCATTGGCAAAGTGCCCGTGACCACATATCTGTCTCCAAGTACGGACACACGCACACGTAGATATATATATCACACTTTTGTTACTTCCACACATTTTTTCCAAGGCAAAAAAACACGAAGCAAAAGCCTTTAAAGGGCTTCAGGCCTACGATTATCAAAAGTAGGTTGTATTGGCGAAACTCACGATTTCTTCGGGTGAGAGGATGCCGAATTGGACCCTCTTCACCGTCCTTATCGGGGCTTTCGAGTCGTTCGTAGCCATCTTGGACGAAAGACAAGAGACTTCTGCCTCTTCGTCCGTACCAGAAAGGCTTTTCTGGGCTTCTGGCTTTCTGCTTTCTGCCGCAACCGCGGCGTTTTGATGCGCGCGGCAATGCTATATATGTATATATGTGTGTGTCATTTGAGCCGTCAGCGTCATCTAACGGACAATTTTTCTCAGTGACTCAGTTCTCCTGTTCTCCGTTAAGCATAGAGATATAAGGATAGAGTGCGCTAATTATACTAATGTACGTAAGGGGGAGCGATACGGTAAAAGAAAGAGATCCGATATGGGGTGTTTTCCGCAATCGTCACCAGCAAGCAATTTAAGGTTGCGCTCTACGTTACCGTCAGGTCGGTAAGTCAACTACCTTGAATTATACTGGCGCTATATTCCGTAATCTGCACAGGCCATGGGGTGTTTTCCGCAATCGTCACCAGCAAGCAATTTAAGGTTGCGCTCTACGTTACCGTCAGGTCGGTAAGTCAACTACCTTGAATTAACTGGCGCTCTGTTCCGTAATCTGGCCAGTTAAAATAGCAGCATCCCGACCTGATGGTAACGTAGAGCGCAGCCCACTATTACTTATTGCTGGTGACGATTGCGGAAAACACCCTTGGTAAGGGACTTGCTCTGATGTACCGACGCCAGGGTTTCGCGCCGTCCGTCCGTCGCATTAATTTAAAATTACGCAGCCTGAAACATACTTACAAAATTTTGAATGATGTTGAACATGTTGAAACACTATATATATACCGAGTACCGATACCGAAGGCCAGCGCCAGCACGCGTGCTGGTACCAGCAGTGTCAGACTGTATACCTATGTACATTACTTCAATGTAGGTCACTCAACTGCGCTCATCAACTCGAAGCTCACATGTGAGATTCTCCGAGCCAGTGATTGGCTGATGGTGTGCGTATTGGTCCAGAATACATGGCAGAGCCAATCAGGACCAGGACAAGTTACCACATCTGCCACACTGCACTTGACCGGTTGACTCTCTGTATATACTCTCACTCTCTCTCAGCAGCAGAGATGAGTATAGACTCAGGACTCAGTAGACTATAATATAAATATCTACTCATCATCTGCTACTCATTTCTGTCAGCATACTATACATAAGTGTGTAAATTCATTTATGATGGCCTAGTGACAGTAGTGACGTAGTGACATAGGCCGACACTAGGTTAGGGCATAATGGCCCTTTGCCTTTCTTTCATAACGATGGTCCCGACGAAAAGTAGCAGCATTCGATTTTCCCCTTTTAAAATAATATTAGAAATCTGAATAATGATACTTTTCATCAGATTTAGTTAGTATTTGTTGTTTAACTTGCAAATGCAAATTTGCAATGATGAAAACGTGCTACTCTCTCAGCCTTTCATCTCTGAAGAGTTTGAAGTTCCCTCTCGTAACTTTTGTTTTGTGACGTTCGTGCAAGTTTCGTCACTACATTGGACACTTCCTACAGATTATTGGAACCTTACAAATTTCAAGCGAAAGCGGAAAGAGAGTTATAACTTATAAGTACTGAACTGTGATTTCTTGGGTCTTGGAATTAGGGAATTTTTAAAGCCATTTTATTTAGTCAAATCGTCAAATCAAACGCTTTTTGTTACTGGAGAGCAACTTAGTGCGCGCGCGAGTGAAATTTTCAAAAAACGGTGTAAAACTTTAGTGAAAAATAGTTGAATGAGGTTTTGATACGTGAAAATGAACAAATATAAGTCAAACTGAATGAGATTTATTAGGTACAAGTGTATTTTTTCGCACTTTTTATAGTATGTATAATAGTGAAATTCTGTACTCAATACTTTCTTGATTTCGTGATGTTTACTGGTGTTGATTCTGCTTAACAAATATACTGAGATCAGCAAATGTTAGTGATTATGTCAAATAAGAAGCAAGAATTTGCCAGAAATTAAAATATTCCTGAAGCTGCAGTTTGTAGTCACATCCACCCCTGAGAGCAATCTGCAATTTGCATGTGTATTCAACAGGTATGAAAGATTCAGCAAGTTTTTGTTTTTGATAATACTTTTCATATTCTTACAATTTCGCATCATTACCTGAATACTTACATAAATTACGATTGTAAATTCTTATCATTATGAGTCAAGAAAAAAAATAAAGGAATCATCAGAGGATCGACTTAAAAGGGTTAAGTGAAAGATAGACATGCTTAAAAAACATTTAAACGTTTTATTTCGAAAACGTTATAGTTGTATTTACAAAATGAAAGCGTCGATCGACTTCATTGCAACGTAATTGTCAATGTTATATTGAAATCAACTTGAACTTCTGCTGCGTCGCTTGTAATCGTGTTTGGAATGCTTGTGTCCACCGTAACTATCCTTTGATTTGTCTCTCTTTTTTTTACGCTCCTTCTTATGCTTCTTGTGACTCTTTCGATCATCATGATCTTTTTTTCTCTCTCTAGACTTACTTCGCATTCGCTCACCATCACGTTTTCTTTCCCTTGAACGACTTCTGCTAAGCCTGTTAGACTCATCCTTAGATTCTTCATCTGGTCTCTGTTCACTGATTTTACTTTTTTTTAGTTTGCTCTCCTCTGATCTACTGCGGCGTTTCCGATCATATGAACTGTACCTTTCCTTGTTATTACGAGAATCACTTCTATCGCGCTTTCTACTCTGATGTTTGTCCCGAGATTCACGACGACCAGAATATTTACGCGAGTCTTGGACCCTTGAAGAGTTTTCATAATCATAATCTTTGTAACGACTAAAATGTTTGTAACTGTTGTAATCCTCATCGTAGTGTTTTTTTAAACTTTTGTCCCTTGAAGTGTCATAACTTTTGTGCTTTGAAGAAAACTTGGAACTCTTGTCCCAGTCCACCACATCATCTTTTTGCTTATGTTTGTCATCATTAGAATAGGAATCCGAGTAGCAACTTTTGTCATCCGAAGCGTCAGGAATACCGTACTTTGCTGAAATATAATCTTTATACATTTCCATTTGCTGCTCAACGACTTCCCTTAAAATTTCAGTGTGGGTTTTTTTGTTAGTATGAACTCCTCTGTATTTAGCTCGGCGCCTCTTCAAATTTCTTTCTTGCTGCAAAAGCTCCAATATGGTTGTATTTCTTTCTTCTTTTTTCCTAAAAACACAAAAAGCAGCTATAATTACAGAACTTTTTTATGATTTTGTCAAAGTAGAATAAAACTTACTCAATGTTTTCGATGTCAGTTACATCTTTGCCACTATCTGGAGCAATAGTGTTGGCAACAACATAATCGTACATTGCTCTTCTCTCGTCAACTGTAAAGTCACTCATAAGTCTGTCTGATGTCATAGGAATTAATTTTTCTTCATCACCTGTTGTTGTCACAAAAAATAGCAATTCAAAGTAAGTTTCGTCTTAATGGAGCTTTCAATACTAAGAATATTCTATTTGACAGTTTTTAGATATCTTTCTATATTCATTTATGAAACAATAAGTACATTTATTGTAGTAAAGGATATAAAAAAAGGATATAATGATTCCATGGTGCAAATAACACTCATAAGAGTCTGAAAAAATCGGAGCAGTTCAATCATGATAAGCATTGGTATTGTTGCTTTTTTTCAATAAGCAATAATATATAAAATACTATTAAAAATACCTACCAATATTCAGTTCAGGATTTTTTCTTTTTGCTTCCTGTAGTACTTTGTGTTGAAGTTCCATATCTGAAAAAAAATTGAAAAACTTACACTCAACAATGTTAGCTCCATGAAGGTAATGTTAAAGTTTTAAAGTTTAAAAGACAAAACAACGAGATGGTTATGTGTCTCAACACTACTTGCAATCAGGAATATCTTACCAAATTTAATTGTCGATTGTGACTGCAAAGGTAGTGCTGACTCTGGAAGTGGCTTGCAATCCTTAGTATATCCTAAGGTGTTCCATTCACACTGTGCAAGGTGCCTTTCCATACTTCTTTCTGGTACACGATGTCCTGAATTAAAAGGGCACATCATAAACGGTTCTCTCTAAAACAGGTTTTGAATTATTTACTTTTAGTTTTTAAAAAAAAAAGCTTTATTTATTAATAGGTTATGTTGTAACTCACATATTTGTTTATTTCATCAAAATCGTATCCATAAAAGGAGCACAACTCTTTGATTTGTTCATCAACATCTTGAGTGAATTTCTGTAGTTCCTCAATGTATTTCTGCTTTTCTTCAGGTGTTACCTCTGGTTCCTGATCCATTTTTAACTTTATTTATACTTATACCTAAGTATTTGCAAGCTGAAAAACATCGACAAACGCACATGCATCCGTGTATGCGCGCTACCACTGACCGGAGGCCACGCCTATTTATCTACTTTAAAAAAGATAACCCCACGCCCTCCAGTGCGCGCGTTACCTTTCATTTTCATCGCCAGCCACACCGCAAAAAGTATTTGCAATACTTACTTCTACTTGCATAAATTGAACGACAATAAATACATTTCGTTATAGATTAGCTGTAGACATAGAAAAGTGCGTTTAAAAAATGTCCCTACGGTGTTGGATGATTTTTGTATGGACGTTTTTCGGAAGGACTACTTTTTACACATTTCGTGTACAGGAGTTCGCTAAAAGTTAACGACTTATCTTGTTGAAATTGTGTGTGAATATTGAGGGGTACATGGATACAATAAGAAAGAGAAAAGAGAGTTGAACAAATAAAAAAAAAAAAAAGAAAATGTCAAAAAACATGGTTTTTGGCCCTTAGCGAGAAAACGGTTCATCCATCTGGGCTCATTTTCGTTGGTAGATGGTGACACGTAATGGGTATAGTTACCATAATTTTATTTAAAAGATAGCTGACGAGTCTGATAATTAATAAGGTGGAAAAACATATGCAATACGTATTTTTTAGCAAAAATGATACACGGTAAGATTGGTTTGGAGAAAAAATAAGTCAGTTGTCACTTGTTTTCAACAATTTTTTACTGTTTATTAAAATTAACATAAAATAATGATAATGTAATAATAATAATAATATAAATCAATACAAAGACCCAACTTGTTATAATTTCTATTGAAAATGCTTCGTTTCATCTAATTACTGCAAACATGCTAGTTATCATATAAAAATATATCAAGATTTTCAATTACCACTTTAAAAACTGATGTTCACCCATACAATATATCATCTGGCACATCCACTATCATTCTGGAGTTACACTTTCACGGAATCAGATAAATCTTTGAATATCATTCAATGATTTGGAGAACATTGTTTGCCATCAACAAATTCGCCTGTGTTATATGTTTAAAACCAGTTTGACAAATTTTTATGAAATGTTTTTTATGTGTTCTCAAACAGAGATAAACAAAAATTTCTTTGCAAATATTTTTCTGTACCAAGTAATATGTATGGTACCACGGTGTAAGGATACCACAAGTGTAGAAAAAATTTTACTTTTTAATTTGTGCAATGGCGAATTTCGTTTACATTAACTTAAAAGTTGTCGGATTTCTTTGTGCATGTGACACAAGTAGTCAATGTAACTTGGGCTGCCATCGATACCACGGTCTTCTACCAAAAATTGACGCATCACCGATTCTGCTTTGTCTCTCTGTCTTACCAATCTTAACTACAAATAAAATAACGTCAATTAATAATATTAAGCAACCACATGACCGTGTTATAAAACGTTTTACGGATTAATACTCACTCGCATGCAATAACGCCTGTTGCTCTGAACTTGTGCGATAATGTCTCTAATCCAGTGATTCAAAGAGTTGTCCAGAACAGGAAGAGTAGTTTTGTCTGTGTCAACTTGCACTACTGAGGGAACTCCAAAAACAGCTTGGACCCATTGAGGATTCACATTTAAGCCGAGCCACAGGAACATGTGAATTCCGTTTTCTGAAAAATGAAAAAAAAAAATTATTGTTTTCATTAAAAAAAATATCAAAATTTGATTCTTGAATTTACATGAGACCTACCTAGTAGATATACCCCGTTGTCTTGGAATTTTTCGATCGAACAACGCATTACAGGAGGTATTTCGTTGCTCGCGGGATCAGCATCGTACAAAGAAATGAGCCGCGGATAGACGTGAAAGACAGTTTCTGTGATTGGCATCGAGGACACCAACATCATTATATACGATTTTTCATCAACTGTTATTCCAGCACCTAAAATCACAAAATTGACAAACGTCAATATTGAGAAATCATTAGGACATTCAGCACATCAGCGGGAGTTTTATTTCACCAACAGCCTTAGTTTAACCCATTTTCATTTATAACTTTACAGTTATTTTTCCAAATAATCAGAAAGTGCAAATCAAGGCAGAAAAGTTGCAGTGCGTGATCTTTGGACTTTAGTGAAGATGTATGTCAATAAGGTAAAAACTTCGGCTAATATACTGAATGCCTTAGTACAAAGTTTGTACGAAATCGACATAAAACTGACCTCCAGTGATTGCATCGCTCTTCAACAAGCTATTGGCGTAGAGGGGCAAGAGCTTAAGGCACTCGGGAAGTATCAGCTGTCCAAAAGTGGATGGCGAGGCGCAGTGCTTTCTGTAAGTGGCTAGGATGTGAGCGCACTTGGAAGTCAAAGTATCTCGTATTGCCTTTGGAGAATACTCGACCAGTTTGTTCACGCCTGTACAAAACAATGGAAGTAATGTAGTTTTCATTCCAAAGCACTGATCCAACTTAAAGAGTCAACTTACTCTGTTTGAGAAGGAAATTGACTAAGGCGTCACAGTCGCAGGATTTGTAGAGCTCAGCCATCATCGAAGAAGTCCTCAAGCTCAGATTGATGATCCGTAGTCTCCGGACACCACCGCAGGAAGTGTAGAGCAGAGCTGCTTGAATGAAAACGCCCTCGTCGTCTGTGAGCTTGTCGTCGTGCTGTATCTCGATTGCAATGGCTTTGTCGCTGTCTAGACTGGCTAGCTCAACATCGGTTGTGTTGGGCATGTGTAGGTGACCATAGAAGTCCGTCGGCCGAACACCCGTCGAAGTACGGACGCGCATCACGGCGTCGAACGCGATTGGTCGGCTGATGTTGTTTATGATGTCTGTGATAAGTCTTTCACCGTCTATGTCAGCCTTTTGACGTTTAAACAAACATTTACAAGTTAAGAAAGTCTTTTTAACACAATTATTAAGTATGAATAGTTACTTGGAAATATGTGTATTTGTAAACTTCGCCGCCTGTGACTCTTGCGACTTGGCCAGTGGTGGCAACGTCTATGTACGAATTGTTAAACAAGAACAAGTCGACGGAGCATCCGGCGGTCACGCACTCTTGGCCCAAAGTGGTGTAAAAATTTGTCTGAGGAGCTGAAATGAAAATTTTACAATTTCAGAAGGAATTTTGCGTTAGCAAGATGATTATAGAAAGCAATTTACCTAGGACACTTTTTTCCTTCTCAGTTCCAAGAACATTACGATCGTCACGGTTTTTCAGTTTTCCTGGAGCTTCTGAGCTGGGCAGTGAAGATTGAAAAACAAGTAGTTTTCCTGCGCATTCGGAAGCCTAGAAATATGGTTGAAAAACAAATAACTTACGACATTTTAGTGTTCAACAAAATAATTGGAAATTCCTGTTCTTACCTTAAGGGCCTCCAATCCTGCTTGAATAGCTGGTCCCAAATTACATTCTGTTTCTCGAGTATCCCCAAACATGACGGGAATTTGTGCCATTAAACTGTCGATCGTTGCCTCACTTTCCTCGGGATCAACAAGGAAACCCTCCAAAAGTGGCATAAACACCTCATGCACATCTCCAACGTACAACATCTGGGGCTGTGCCAAATTGGCTTTGCAATTGTAAAAATGAACGGAATGGTTGTACGTTATGAAACCAACTTTCATGTTTGACTTTGATTGGTACATATCAACAGGTAGATGGCGAATCATTTCTTTCATTTGTGAACACAGGAGATTTACTAAACCTGATTTAATATTGTTGTAAGAGACATCGATCACAAAAATAATTGCTGGTGGTTTCGGAAAAGTATTGTCCTAAAAAAATAAAGTCAACATAGTTTTTTTTTTTTTTTTTTTAAATGAAATAAAATTGAGTTCAAATATTTGGATTTCCACGTACTTTACAATACAATTTTGTTGCCACGTACTCGAACGTTCCCAGCCTTAGTTCTGGTCTCTCATATCGGTCCATTCTTTGGCCGGTATGATCTAAATGTTGGAAGTACTCTTGTGGAACTGGATAAAAAGATCATGTTAAGAATTAATTACGTGAAAAATGATTGAAAAAGTACTAACAATTTCGGGTTACCTTCAGTAGTGGCTTTACAAAACATACACTGGAACCGCCTTCCAGCATCAATGAATTGCATGAAAGGACACATGTAAGCTTTACAGCGAATACATCTAACAGGCCCGATTTCACCCATGTCAACGATAGGCGGTTCCATCTCGCCCTCTTCGCTTTGAGCCATTGGACTTAAAATAATTCCAAATGGAAATTGTGCCTGATGTCGTGCAGAAGATGTCAAACAATTCGTTTTCAAAAACTCGTTAAGGACAATGAAAATTGTTATGTCATACTCACTTGCTTTAGTATGTCTGCCGTTGTAGGAACAGTATACATTGATGACCTAATAAATCTTGGAGATGCGTTTCCTTGATCGTGGACTACATATTTCGTTGTCACTAGCGGAGGAACCAATCCCCTCTGATTCGTTATGAAATCTCCACCTTTCATCTTTTGGTCATCTTGAATAACTTGAATCTGCAAGGGACATCAACATTTTTAATGAAAAAAATCCGTGAGTCCATGGATACTCAATTGTGATTGGTGTGCAGAGAATCTTACAGGATTCGGCATGTTATCAGGATCTAGTCTCTTATTCTGAGCCTGAGCATTCGCTGGGTATCCTCCAGGATATGAACCAGGCTGATTTTGATATATTGGCTGACAACAAAATTTTCGTTAGCAAATCAAAATTTTTAATTCATTTTAAATGCGTAATTGAAAGTTCCTATCTTACAGGTTGGCCTGGACCAAAGCCTGGTTGTTGAAATCCTTGATTCATGCCACTTGGTTGTCCCGGTAATGGAGGACCGGGTGGGTAAGGCTGTTGCCCAAGCATTTGATTTTGATAGGGACCTGGTGCAAAAGTTTGCTGGCCTGGCAGAGGCGGCCCCGACAAGTTTTGTTGACCCAGCATAGGAGGTCCTGACAATGTCTGCTGTCCAGGTAATGGAGGTCTTGATAGGTTTTGCTGCCCTGGAATCGGGGGTCCAGAGAAATTAGGTTGACCGGGCCTTGGAGGTCCAGCTAAGGTTTGAGCATTGAGCATGGGTGGTCCAGATAAATTCTGAGGGCCTGGTGGTTGATTGAATTGCGGCCTGGGTAAATTTTGCTGTCCTGGCATTGATGGTCCTGCTAAATTGTTTTGTTGGCTGGGAAGTGGAGGTCTGGATAGATTTTGTGGACCCTGGAGGTTTTGTCCATGCATTGGTGAACCGGATGAGTTGTGATTGCCTGGCATGTGGGGCATTGGGCCAGATTGAACCCCCATTGGTCCTTGACTCATGGGTTTGTTCATTTGATTGCCTACTGATCCATGCTGTTGTTGCTGACCTGAAATAGGTGGGCCAGGTAAATGTGATTGATTTTGGTTGGCTGCAGTTTGAGGCATGCTCTTGGGAATGTTTGGTCCAGAATGTAATCCTAAGCTAGGTGGCTGTGTTGAATACTGTTGACCAGGAAACTGAGGTGTTCCTGAAGATCCTTGTGGAAATGGAAGACTGGACGTTTGTGAAGGGGGAGGTGCAGTGACAGGCTTATCTGCAGCTGCATGATTTCCATCTGGTGTACCTGTCGAGTTGAATGTATTAATAATGTTCATGACGTTGGAATTTGAATTTGGTCAATTTTAATTGTACCTTGTGGAGGATAATGATTCCGATTACTAACTCCATTCACGAAATGGTTCTGGGCTGATAAATTTTGCTGCAAAAATAATTTGGTCAATGTTATGCTAATATGCTTAATTTGTTAGATTCAATGGTGACCAGTTTTTAAAATGTTACCAATCAGAAAATAAACGTTAGACCATAATTTAGATATTTTTAAAAACGATGAAATTTTTTTTTTACAATTCCATTTGTTTTTACAATAAATCAAATTTGGAATTTTTTTTGTAAAAACATTATCTTTATTCAAACAAAGGCACTTACCGTGGAAAGGGGTTTTTGAGGATCAGTCAAAGATACATTAGACATTTGGTCCACAAGATTGTTTTGATTTAACTGTGGCAAAGGCGGAGCAGATTTTTGTTGAGGCAGAGACTGTGCATCAGAGGCAATTTTTGATGGATAATTGGCGTTGGGTTCTTCATAAGGCAAGTTTGGTGGCTGTCCTCCATAGAACGGACTTTGTTGTTGCAAATACTGAGGATTCATTTTTTAAATCTAAAAGTAAAAAAAGATGCAATATTTTAGAATTTTGATAATTTTTCAGTTACGTTCAGTATCACGTTTTCGGTAATAGTAAAAAAGATTCTACCATATGCACGTAATATCGTTACATTAAAACATCACCCAACGAAAATGTTCCCTCTTTTATCTGTTTTATAAATCAATTAAAATAAGTAAACTAAGCATTCAAACATATGGCAAGACAGAAGCCGCGTTTTAAATTTCATTTTGAACAAAAAAAAAAAAAAAACCAAGCAGGATACAAAAACAGATGTTGGTCCCCAATACCCACTCACGTCGTTTAAAATCTAAGTATAGCAATCACGATCAAAAAATTTACTAGAATATGTCACTCGAGAAAAATTTAGACAACAAATTAGAGTAATATTTATAAAAATTTTGTTGAGGCACAATGTTTTTTTTTTTTTTTTTTAAGTACTTATTTGTTGGAAAAAACTTTTCTCTGCTGAACCAATCAATTTCAAAAAATAAGAGTGAACTTTAAAAAAAAAATTACACCAGACAACACATGTGTTATAATGCTTTGGTGTTGCGCGAATGCAATGAATTTCTGCATTTTAGAATGGTGAGAGTCTGCAATTTTTGCAAGTGGCCATGTGTGTACATAATACATGTGAGTAAACATACGTGTAATAAACCCCGTTCACGCTTGCAAGCCGAGCTCCTTACCTCTCTCCAATGATACATAACATTGTCAAACAAACAGAGAGAAACACTGCATAAAATAGCGTATATTATAACAAATCTTTATTTGATTGACACATTAGAACAGTATTAAAACGATTAGTCGCACGTTGCAAACAAATGGTACATTTTGGAGAGTGACAACAACTGTCAAACGTGCTTTGCTGTATTAGCAGTATAGCATGCAAGGGTCACGTATAGGAAAACGCCACGTATGTGAAACTCGACATTCGATATTATCGCGACACAAGACTGCACATACTCACATTTTCAATACAATCTCGATTTACACATAACAAGGGACTTGAACAATTGTCTTTGACAGAAAAATGAACAATGTCACATGTACACGGGAACGTAGAAAAATATATCAACTAACAAAAAGGCGTAAGTGTACGCACTGCACTGCACACTCGGGCAGAGCAGTGTAAATTACCACGTTGCCGTAGTAGCGGCTTTCTTCACAACTATACCTAGTCTGTGTCTCTCTCTCTCTCTCTGTCGCCCACGCAAGACAAAAATTTTGCTGACAGATTTTGCGGTCATACGCGTATTGTTTCTTTTTTTCGGGGAAAAATTGCGCCCAAGGGGCATCCCCATGTGGTAGGGATGGTGATTTTTGTTGGCGGATTGAGTAAAAAAAGGGATATCCGGGTTGATGATTAATATATTTTATGCGCGTTTGGTTTATGTATATCTACGCGTGTGTGGATACAAGCGCTTCCTTTGCGCCAATCAAGCAGCGGCTTTTACTCTTGAGAAGTTGCTTTTAAATGTTGTTTCGAAATTGACAAAACTCATTGCAATTTTATCCCTCTACCCTATTCCATGACCAATAAATAATGAAAACAAAATCTGTTGGATTTGATCGGTAGTAAGTTTTGCAAAAAACCGGCTGGTACCACCAGGTGGATATCAAATTTTTGGGATAAATGTTTTTACGTCACATTTTTTTATAATTGTTACTTTAATTCACAAATTAGTAAGTAAAAAAAATTTTTTTCAACTGGTAAACATCAACAGGAGTTTTATGGCCGTACACGTTTTGCTCTAGTTAATAAAAAAGTAAAAGTGGTAAAAAAAATAGAGATACATGGCGAAGTGAGGGAGTAAAAGTACTTAAAACAAGGTATTCAACAACTATCGTGTTGAAGAAAATTTAGAAAAAAAAAAAGTATTTGAAATACATTTAACAATATGTAATAGTGAAAATAATGTGAAAAAAAACAAGTACGCTATCTGTTGTCTTTACGGAAGTAACAGTTATTTATATTTTTTCTTTCAAATATTTTTTTTTTTTCTTATAATAATTCTAACAGTTATCCTCACAAAGTTTTTTAGTTTTTTTAAAGTTTTACTTGTTCATAATATGTTCCAGTTGTTTTCAATTTTCAAACAAAATATTTTAGAATTTGCTTACGTTTATTTGCAGTTTTTTGTATTTTGCTTTGATTTAGAAAGGTAGTAAAATATAAAGTTTTCTAAAAAATATGTATTTCTTATAGTATTCAAGATAAAAACAATCATAAAAAAAATGTTTCTGAGTGTGTGAAATCAGTCATGTCTCAGAAACCCTTCGATTAATTTTAACAATCCAGGGCTTTCCTCTTCACAACGGCTCACAAAAAAATGTAATACGGCCTCAATTAATGCTTACTTCTGTTTGTATATCATAAATTATAGGAACAACAATTTCGATGAGAGGAAGAAAATTAGGTAAACGTACATTTCTCTGTAATACTCAATGTACGTCAAACTACAATTATTTTTATTTTCAGCGAATTCCTCCATCTGAAATCTGATGCAATATCACCAACTGACTTTTGACTTAGTCTTGTTTAGCTAAAATACTTACTAGATGACATAATGTTGTTTGAAATCGAATCCTGATGCCGATGTTGCCAAGAAGTGAAAAGAAAGAAAAAGATGACATATTACTTAATGGAAGAAAAAAAATAATTCAACCTGCCAGGTAGATTGTCAAAAATATTAAACACCTTATTTTTTTTTTATAAACATTGAAATATAGTGAGTTACAGTTGCTTGATTAACGAAGTGATGTGATAAGAGCGTTTTAAATGTAAACGTTTTACTACAAGGCAATGTCACTCTTTTATTTTCGTAAGTTGTTATTTATGCGAGAGAAAAAAAATATACGCGTCTCATGTTTTTCGATAATCCACCTGACTCACCTAATCAAGAATGAAATTTTTTGTATTCTTCCTAACTACTAGTTTTCTGAACAACTCTATTAATTTCAACAGTCTCAGTATACGTAATTCTTTTGACGGGTGTCAAGTGATGAGTCCCATTTGATGCCCCAAGTACTTGAAATTGCATTCAAAAAGTTAAATTATCTTTACAAGTTGCTGAAGTGTGATTATTTTGTAGACCCATGCGCGAATGGCACATTGAACAATCCACGGGTTTAGACGCTATTAAGCTGATTCCTCTTTTGGATTATGTACACATAAAATGGAATGTATTTAAAAAAAATCGTAGTACACATTTGAATTAACATAGATTTTTTTGAACATGGCAACAATGACGAATTTCTAGTTAGTTTTGATCTGGTGTAGAATACTGAAAAAAAAATTATTAATAAATTCGAAATAAATTTTTTAATTCCTATTCCGCTCATTATAATATGTGGCACTTTTCGTTAAATGATCCAATTGTATGTATGAAGAGCGCTATTGTTCGTCAAACACAACAACCCAACTAATTTAATTGTATGGAATATGCAATTGATTCAAATATTTCGTAAATTCATAGTCCAAAAAACAAATGAAAAACCATGACTAGGAGTTTTGAAAAACCAAAAAGCAATTGGTAGGAAGAAACATCTAATTTCTCTGATTTTTTCATAAGCAACATGATGGCATATCTGTTACTCTATATAGGTATGTCCCTCACACGTTTTGAGTAAAAATTTATTGTGTACCGATATAATACTGGTCTTTGCAAAGAAAATAAAAATATAAGATTTCTGAGATTAAGTAATAAGTTATTAAGCAACTTACTTTCCAAACGTTTCCTTGTGATTGACCTCAAGTCTATGAAAAAAATTATGGAAATAAATTTCTTGTACATATTTTTATAGGATTTCAAAAAAGTAAGCATGAGCCATAATGAGATTGTTTTAATGTTTTAAAACTCATTCACTATGAGGGAGGGGGGCATTCAAATTTGCTTTGTAGTAATCTATTTGAAAGTTATCTGAAATTCATTAGTAGATTTCGGCCATTTTAACTCGATTATAATATTGCCATAAAAAGTTGTTCTTTTTTTTTGAGATCACATTGAAAATTATGAATTTTTTACTTTAAGTGATCTAAAGTTAGTTTATGAGCTTTTCAAAGTAGAGTCTATATTGTTAATATATTTGAGATTAAATTACAGTTTTACTTGCTAATGTATTAATCTTAAGTTACCATTAGTTAACAGTATTCATTTGAATTCTAACAACAAATCAGATTATTAAACATGGACAACAAAATTTCTAACTAAATAATCTTGGCTGATCATCCATGCAGTCGTCAGTTGCATGTACTCATTCTGTCTTGGAATGGGCTTCACTTTTGATTCATTGTTGATCTCATTGGTGTACATTTTGACAAATCTGCTATCAAATTTTCATGAATAACAAACTCTCTTTGTACTAGTTATGCAAGTAAATGACATGAAAATTGACTCAAAAATAATTTCTTACTACTATGATTTAGTATATTATTTATTTAATTTATACAAAATGTATTTCAGTTTACAAAGAATATGTAAGGCTAAAAGATTACATAATTGTGAGAGTTCAGATGATCAGTAGTCTGGGTCTTTTGTGTTAACCATTGACAATAGTCTAGTGTTGAATACAACATTTATTTAAATAACTCATGTCAAATGTATAGAGCCATGTACTTGTTGAATTGAAAAAAAATTGACAGTAACATTAATCTGCATTCAAACAATTTGAGTGCACTCATTCAACACGTAGTACCATTACATATGTAAAATTTATAAAAATAGTACTTTATCGGATGGCAGCTTACATATTTTCAACCCATTAGATAATTTGATAATTAAGATTAACATAATTGAAGTTGTGAGAAATTTACCTTGTAAAGTTTTGAGAAACATCATTTATAATAGATTACTTGAATAAATGGTACCAAAGATCAAGTGATACTACACTGGGTTACAAAAGTTTGTTTTTTCTACCATTTAAACAAAATATTTTATAATGTAGGTATGTTTTGGAAAATTAATGTTTACATTGATTTAAAAAAAAAAAATTTATTGATGAAACAGTAAAAACTTACATACAGGTTCAAAATGCTTCATACATTTTAATTTCAGAAACTTATTGATACATGAACTCAAATTTACAAATGGTCCATCTATGAGGCTTGCGATAAAAAGTTTTTAAATTACATTTACATGTCATGAAAGTGTTTGCTTGCTGAAGTTAATTTGTTTTGAACAATATGATTTTTAACATTATTTTGAGAACTTGGCTGAACTATTCGCTAAGTAAACTGTCACATTTTAATTTGAATACCAGGAAATCACATAAAAATAATTTATTATAACGATGCAAACAGAGTAGTATACAGAGTGTACTATTTTAGTCATATGATTGAAAATCTTATTTTCATAAGTTGTTTGTATTTCAATAAACACTCTGTCGCAGATGATTTTTGTACAATAACATTTTGATGAAAATTTCTTATGACATTTTCTACTTAGTGAGTCTGATAATCTGATCAAGTTTACAATATAAGTTGATGTTTTCTAGAACAATTGGGTAAAATGTAATATAATGTATGCAGCCATATTTTTAAAAGTAATTACTGATTTTTACTATCTGCATCAAGTCAAATTATTCATCTGAGTCACTTAAAATATTTGACGAAATCATAAGTTTCTTACAACTATAACATTGATGAAACAAAGCAATACAATAAAGTATTAAGAAAAATATTTCACAGAAAGTTTTTTCAATCTAGTGATTAAAAAAAACTTATATTTAAAATAAGTATAATTTTTGTTTCTTACTTCAGAAAGAAAACTTAATTTTAAGCATACAGTTAATTGGTTCCTTAGTAGTAACGGTACTTATTATTAACGTTCAGTGTCTTTGATTTTTTTTTTTTTTTTTTTTTTCAATGTTTTCATAAACTTACCAATAAAATTTGGACGATTCGTATGCTTTTCAAACTTTTTACTTCATGCTTCTTCTGGCAGGCTTCTTGCTTTTGGCTTTCTTTGCAGATTCCGGTTTACCTTTTTCTTTTGTTTCTTTAACAGCAGATTTTTCATTTTCCTCCTGTTCAGCTAGGAATTCTTCGATGAGCCTATCACAGTTTAATTTTGTTTCTTGCTCCCAAGTATCTGCATCTGCGGAGTATCCTTTCCAACGGATGAGGAACTGGCGCATACCTTTGATTGTACGCTGATCCACAATTTTTTCCACCTCGTACTCCTCACCGTCATCACTCTCATCTTCTTCTTTTTTGGAAGCGTTGCCCTTTTTCTTACTCTTGGATGGCGATTTTCCGTTGCCTTTGACTTTCTCGCTTTCATCGTCATGACTCTCGTCGTTTCCAACCTCTGATTTACCCTTCTTTTTCTTCTCCGCAGGCTTTTCAACCTCCAACTCGGAACCGTTGCTATCACTCTTCCTTTTGTTGAGCGATTTTCTGTTACCTTGTTTCTCGCTGCCGTTCTTGTCCTCGTTGTCCTTAGCGTTTCCTCGTGAAGTACGCTTCTTAGCGGAACTCAACGTTTCAACTTCACCTCCATTGTCAGCTTTCACGGAGTCATCCATGACCACCGCTTCGTCAGTATCATCATGAGCTGACTTCTTGCCCTTCTGTACCTTGGAAGATGAACGGCGCATCCTGAATTTTGGTTAATTTATCTAAATTTCCTCGAAGGGCAGCGTCGACGTTGACCTGGGCTTCAGGGCTTCAAAATACCTGCGTGTAAGCTCGTGGCTTTTTCGCCGGATGTCTAGGTTAGGATATATTCACTTCACGGTAAGCACGTGCGTCAAAGTTGCCGAGTTGGTGGCTTACTGCTCTCTGATGGAGCGCCGGCGGGAAATTGTCGCAGCTATAGCTTGTAGGACATCTATATACTTACTTGTCTCCGAACTGCCCGCGCTTTTTACTGTTTTGCTTTTGACCGTCCCTCACCAATGCGTCGTCGTGTTGCATGACGTCAAATCGCGAAAAATGTGAACATGCACAGTCGCACATACATGGGCACGGAGTCTGTGTGTGTGCGCGCCCTCGTGCTCTGATGTAACACGACGTCACAGAACTCTGCAATAAAATATACTTTTACAGGAGAGCACGATGCTGCAGAGAGGATATTATGTCTATTCTAGGATGTCGGTAATAGGTAGGTATATGTGTTTGTTTAAAAATATTTGTACATACAGCTGATCCACGTCCGGACGTTTGTGTGCATCTCTTCAATGTTTAAGTAAGTGGCTCATACGTTCGTTAAATTATTTCACATTATTTTTTTCATACCGTGATACTACAACTTATCATCTGAATAGACAAAATTTCCCGTGATATTTTGGCAATTCCTAATCGTTGGGTCACGTGATCATTAGCTATCAGTACGAGGGAGACACGGCGATATTTTCCTTACGCGCTTAGAATAGTCACGTGACTTAGCTGACGGAGCACAATTGATATAGTTTTTGTATCATGGATGTTATTCGAATATTTATAATATTCATCCAAATTTTTTCATTGCCAATGTTTTAAAAAAAAGCATGGGTTTAATTTGCGAAATTCGGAATAGGCTACACAATACACCTCCTCACTATTCGAGACTTCCCTTTGTTTTTAGTTTTTTTCAATTTCCGGTTTAGTCTCAAGTTGAACCTCAGTCTCAAGCTGAGGTGTATTTTGACGAGATGTTAAAAAAACTACGTCCAGTCGATACCATGTGGTTTCATATTGGTATAAGTCAACAAGTGTGTAATATATAATGTATATATATTATACGTAATACATAATAATTTAATATATTAGATATAATAAATATAAAACATTATGTTATTTCATGTACCTTTGGTCTAGTAAATTAGTGGGGACTCCTGTGTTCAAAGGTTCTCTTTTTACAGTGCAGCACACGCTTTGCACCACAACCATAATGGCGGCTAAATGATGTGCATTATTATTTACGCAACCGTTTCTAGGAACTCATCATTTTGATAACAAAATGGCGTTAGCTGCGTACAACTAATACATGTGTAGCTATAGTTTTCTAGGTTAAACTATCAGTAACGACTACGCTAAGTAGCGGGCGAAGATTTCATGGGAGGTACAGTAGGGTACAGTTAGTGGGACTTTGCATGATCTGTATCCATCCATTCGATTTGTCAACAAACTATCACAACTTATGATAACCCATGAAAACCGTGACCTCCAATAACATTTGTTGACAAACCGGATGGACATCAGATCAGGGTTGTATGTCTATCGCCATTTTCGTCAGGTTTACAGTCTTTGTCTTCCATGGCTCGGGTGTACCTAATAATGCATAAAATAAGATTCATACAATAATTAAACTTTCCATTCCGCTGGCTTTCGCCATCTTGCGTCAAAATGCGCTGGAACTGCTGGAAGCCAGCTTCTACAGCGCAAAGAACGTTCATGACGTCACATAAAAACAATTACAGTTGTTGATTCTTCTTTTCGTGGTTGGCTACAAGTACCTTGGACCTCAGTTGACTACTACGCTAGAAATGGTAGGGCTATATCCTCCACATCCGGGGTTCAGCATAAAAATTTACATGACGTTAAGGTATGTTCTCATGTTTACGTAGTAGTAGTAAGTATGATTATGGCAGTACATAAGATCACGTGATCACCCGACTTGGGCGCGCATAGTTACACTGCACATGGATACCAAACGACCCTGCCTTTGTAGTTGTGTCCTTCGTACTATAGCAATGCAGCTCACTCTACAGTTTGGTATGCCGGTTGTTCCTCTCATACTAGTTTAGGTAAGAGCCAGATGGGGCACGGCCAAATAAAATTATCACTATCACTATCACACTCGTGTGAAAATGTAACCTTAGGCGGTTGTTTCTGCGCTTAGTAATTTATTTCTTATCTCACAGGCACCCTCTAGGTTTTTGTATAGTTGAATAAGACCGTTAGATATTTTTGTAATTTAAAAAAAAATCATCGTCCAAGGCTCACTATTATTTTTTATGATATAAGTAACTAAATAATAGAAAGACATCTCTCCGTAAGCATTCATATTACGGTATCAAAAATAGATAAATATAATCATTAATATTTTGCCTCCATGGAACCCTATTATACCCTGGACGTTAATTTAGCTGTGCCCCAAGTTTTATAAAGATCTCATGATTATCCACATTCAAGATAAACTTAAGTATGTACTTAGGTATACGTAGTTTATTGTCTATTACACTAAAATTGTTGTGTGCAATGCTTTAGGAACATAAGGTACTACTAAAATCCTTATAATTTATCGAAGCTAATTAATTGAAGATGTGATGAGTAATATATGTATTAAATTTGATAACTCAACTTGAGTTAGCATTTGTTACCGATCTCGCTATAACGGTATTTAACGTGTTACTTTTTACTAATTGTAAGAATTTACGGTCACCCTCTTTTGGCTAGCTTCTATGTTTTTGTTTAAAGTCTCTTCCTCGTATTTCCTTTACTTTTCTTGCTCTCTTATTTATTTATTTATTTTTTTTGCTTTTAGAGTAAGAAAACTTTCTTTTTTCCAAGGCATTTGCCCAAGATCTGTTGATATTTTTCTTAATATTAATCAGCTCACTCTTCTTTTTTGCTACGCTTTCTACAATTATCTTTGAAACCTTTACTCAAACCGTTATAGTCCACTGGCTCTCGGACTTAATTAGGGTGTGGCAAAAGGAGAAAGACTTAGTCGTTATCGTGTGCTGTTTTAACTAAATGTCTAATTAGATAGTTGGAACAAACAACCAGCCATATTGAATTTTAGTCAATAAGCGTATGGAAATTAAATTTTTTTTCTTTCTGATCTACACTGCGCATAAAAAACAAAAATACATTGATAGGTGCTCGCCCACGCAATGCTTGCGTTGACCACGTCTTTGCAGACAGAATATTCATGATCACATTTTTAATAGCTGTGGCATTTATTATGACTGGAAAATATTCTGTCGGAATATTATATCTATAGAAACTGAATTGGTTCTTTGTCTTCATTAAATTTAACTTAAAAAAATACTATTCCTACCCTCATCATGTTATTTTTCTTCATCCTCATCAGTTTTTCTTCCGTTTAATCCATTCCCACCGTATGAAATCGTTTTGGTTCAAAAGAATTATTAAAGGAGAGTATCATGCTTCGAGATCCGCCGTATACGAATGAAGATAATGAAATTTTTGATAGTAAATACGATTTGCTTACTCGTATACAGTGTTATTTTTTCATGCATTAATCAAATTTCGTCTTCTACCAATGAATGACAAAAAGTCAGTTTAAATTATGATATCCGCTACTCATACCATCATTTCATCAATTGTCAATCATAATACTTGTGTATTACTGCAATGCACAAACACCTATGGATTATAAAAAAATCATGAAAGACGTAAAAATATTTTATTTATTACAATACAAACAGTTTACTATTCAAATTATTGTGCTTACATTTTTTTAAATACGTATTAATAGCTAAGAGAATATTTTGTGAAAAAAATGGTATTAACGCCCACACGAAGTTGTTTCTAGAAACAAATAGTGTGATTGCGTTGTACACTAAAGTAAAATTAACTCAGATTTTTTATCTATTGTTTTTTATTTTTACTGTCAATTCTGCAACGAAGCCATTAAGAAATCACAGCACCTTTATAAATAACAGTTGACAAATTCTTTGACGAAAACAATGTTAAAGCTCAACTTTTACTGGAGCAGCTTGTACTACACAACATCTATCAAGTAAATTCATTCTAATGGAAAACAAATTGAATTTAGCATTATAAATAATTTAACGCTGATATCAGTGTAAATCAATTCCATAAGGTATAACCACAAAAATTGATTAATTTTACTAAGTAAGACAAGAGAAAATTTACCAAAAAATAATAATTAACTTCCACCAAAGTATCATTTTTTGTTATTTGTTAGTTAAAAAACTGGCGTATTACGTTAAAACCATCAAATAACATTAGGTTTGAGAAACAAATTTTTTGTTTTTACCGTAGATTCGTTAGTATCTCTAGTTAACATATGTATTCTTGATACACAGCAATAAAGAAGAAACAGTTATTCATCTAAATTTATTTTTAATTCTTGATTGGTTGAACAAAATATAAAATATCACAAACACTACTAGAATCTTATATCAAAGGCTAATAGTTTTTCCGTAAATTGGCCTTATTTATTAACACAATAACCCTTATATCTCTACTTAACAGGTGAATCCTCAGAAGGTATTAAAAAGTAAAGATGGAAAACCTTCTAAATTTGCCATTAATTCCTTGATTTACTAAAGAACTAGAACAAAATGTTACAAATACTTCAAATTCCAGCATCATAGGTGTGAAATTAAGTTTTTTCATTGATTTTCCAGTGTCTCTCGTTGGTGGGATAATCCTTAATAGATACCAAATAAGTAGGAACAAAAACCTTTCTAAAATTAATTCTTTGTTAACTGAATAACAAGTAAAAAACACAAAATTTCGATTTCACTGCATGGAACTAAGTTTCTTCGATAATTTGCTAGTATCTCTACTTAAAAGGTGAATCCTTCATAAGTATCAAAAAAATAGCGATTAATACCCCTTAATGAATAAATTTTCTATTAATTACTAAATTTATTGAAGAACTGGTATAAAATATTACAAACACTTTCAAAGTTTCGGTTTCTTACAGTATAAAACTAAATTTTTGTGTTAATTTACTATAGTGTCTCTAATTGAAAAGTGGATCCTTATTGCGTATCAGAAAAGTAGGAACATACACCCGTATAAATTAATATTTCTTGCTTTGATTTATCAAAAGCTA